ATGAGCTTAAAAGTATGTTAGAGCTGGTTGACAGTCGACTAACTAACTAAATAACTACCATAAACCTTAAGAACTGGAAACCAAATGTGGAAAATTGAAAGAAATAGATTGCATGCCAAATTTTTTTGTTTACCATCCGATCGACCGAAAGCTAACATATTATGGCATGCCATTCCCTTAAAGTGACATTGAAAAAATCCGTGATGGCATATCCGAGAAAGTGGGCCACTTTCTCTATTTAATCGTGGGCTTTGTCATAACGGTTGGCATATCCTTTGGCTATGGCTGGAAGCTGACGCTAGCCGTGAGCTGCTACATACCACTCGTTATCGTCGTCAACTACTATGTGGGCAAGGTAAGAACACGTGCCTTGACCCGCATTCAGCACTAACAGTTCGATTTATGCACAGATTCAAGGCACGCTGACTGCACGTGAACAGGAGTCTTATGCAGGCGCAGGTAATCTGGCGGAAGAGATCCTAAGTGCCATACGCACTGTAGTCTCCTTTGGTGGCGAGAAACAGGAAGTGGAGCGTTTCGAGAGCTTACTAGTGCCCGCACGCAAGGCTAGTCAGTGGAAGGGCGCCTTCTCCGGCGTCAGCGATGCGGTGCTGAAGTCCATGCTGTTTCTATCCTGTGCGGGCGCATTTTGGTATGGCGTGAATCTCATTTTAGACGATCGTTACGTGGAGGATAAAGAATATACACCAGCTATTTTGATGATTGTGGGTTTGACAAAATATCAACTCTAGAAAGCCTCCATATAACTATCCATATCTTCACAGGCCTTCTTCGGCATTATTGTGGGTGCGGATAACATTACCCGCACGGCGCCCTTCCTCGAGTCCTTTGCGACTGCGCGTGGTTGTGCGACCAACTTATTTAAGGTCATTGATTTGCCCTCGAAAATCGATCCATTGTCAACAGATGGCAAACTGTTGAACTATGGCCTGCGTGGCGATGTCGAGTTTCAGGATGTCTTCTTTCGCTATCCTTCGCGGCCCGAAATTATTGTGCATCGCGGCTTGAATATCAAAATCCGGGCGGGTCAAACTGTGGCGTTAGTGGGTCCCTCGGGCTGCGGTAAATCCACCTGTATACAGCTGTTACAGCGCTTTTACGATCCCGTTTTTGGCGCTGTGCTTTTGGATGAGTTGGACATACGCAAATATAATATACAATGGCTGCGCTCTAATATTGCTGTAGTGGGACAAGAACCGGTGCTCTTTATGGGCACTATAGGTAAATGGGATACAACTTTTGTATATCTAATTATTTATAAATGCAAATTAACTCTTGTTAGCGCAAAACATTAGCTATGGCAAGCCGAATGCCACACAGAAGGAAATTGAAACAGCTGCCCAACAAGCTGGTGCTCATGATTTTATTAGCCATCTACCAGAGGTAAGTGACGCCTCAAAAGTCAGAAGTTTGACTGATCCTTGCTTATATTCCATTTAGAGCTACCGCACTATGATCGGTGAGCATGGCTCCCAGCTCTCAGGCGGTCAAAAACAGCGCATAGCCATTGCTCGTGCTCTTATACAGAATCCCAAAATATTACTTCTCGATGGTAAGTAGACCTCCTGACTGGAAAAAGCCTAAAAACTGTGCGTTTAACCGCCACATTTGAACGCAGAGGCCACCTCGGCATTGGACTATACTTCCGAGAAACTGGTGCAACAAGCTTTAGATTTGGCCAGCAAGGGACGCACCACCATTGTGGTTTCACATAGGCTTTCAGCTATACGTGGTGCAGATAAAATAGTTTTTATACATGATGGCAAGGTACTGGAGGAGGGCTCACATGATGATCTGATGGCCTTAGAAGGAGCCTACTATAACATGGTTAAGGCAGGAGACTTTAAGGCACCAGACGAGCAGGAAAAGGAGGAAAATATAGATGAGGCTAAGCGTGAGTTACAATATTAACAATTTTCAGCATTAAACTAAAGCTAAAATGCTTGGTAGGCAAAAGTTTAGCGCTCTACGAAAAATCCTTCGAGACGAGTCCGCTCAACTTTGAGAAGAACCAAAAGAACAGCGTGCAGTTCGATGAGCCCATTATCAGGTCCATGAAGGAGAGCAACAAGGAAAAGCAAAAAAGTGCCGCGGCGAAACCAAACTTTTTTAGAACCTTTGCGCGAATAATGCGCATTTCACGGCCCGAATGGATTTATCTACTGCTAGGTGGCATTTCGGCCATAGCCGTCGGCTGTCTCTATCCGGCATTCTCCATTATCTTTGGCGAATTCTATGCTGCACTCGCCGAGCAGGATGAGAAGGTAGCGCTGAGTCGTACTGCAGTGCTCTCTTGGGCATGTTTGGGCATCGCGGTAATCACTGGAGTCATCTGCTTTCTGCAAACCTATATGTTTAACTATGCTGGTGTTTGGCTAACCACACGCATGCGCGCCATGACCTTTAAGGCAATGGTCAGCCAGGAGGTTGGCTGGTTCGATGAGGAGCAAAACTCGGTGGGTGCGCTCTCAGCGCGTTTGTCTGGCGAGGTAGCCGGTGTGCAAGGCGCCATAGGGTTTCCACTAAGCGGCATGATCCAGGCAGTATCCAATTTCATTTCTGGCATATCAATTTCCATGTACTACAATTGGAAATTGGCGCTGCTTTGCCTAGCCAACTGTCCGATTATTGTTGGATCTGTTATACTCGAGGCCAAGTGAGTAAACATCTGTACTCTACTCTCTGTATACTATACACACGCGAGTTTTACTTTCATAGAATGATGTCCAATGCACTGATTAGAGAGAAACTAGTACTAGAGGAAGCCTGTCGCATTGCCACCGAATCGGTTACCAATGTGCGCACCATCGCCGGCCTGCGTCGCGAATCTGAGGTCATCAAGCAGTACACTGCGGAGATTCAGCACGTGGAGATTCTCATAAGACAAAAACTGCGCTGGCGCGGAGTGCTTAACTCCACCATGCAGGCCTCGGCTTTCTTTGCCTACGCCGTAGCGCTCTGTTACGGCGGCGTTCTGGTCTCTTGGGGTGAGGTACCCTTCCAGGATATCATCAAGTGGGTTGCCTACTAGTCCAAGAGTGGTCGCTTACTCATGTTTGCATTCTTCTATATAGAGTGTCTGAGACGCTGCTTTATGGCTCTATGATGCTGGCCCAATCGCTTGCCTTCACGCCCGCTTTTACCGCCGCCTTGGTGGCCGGTCATCGTTTGTTCCAAATCATTGATCGCAAGCCGCGCATTGTATCGCCCATGGGCACAATTAAGAACACGCTCGCTAAGCAACTGAATCTCTTTGAGGGCGTCCGATATCGTGACATCGAATTCCGTTATCCCACACGGCCAGATGCAAAAATTTTGAACGGTTTTGATTTGGAGGTGCAGCAGGGTCAGACTGTGGCATTGGTTGGCCATTCCGGTTGCGGCAAGTCCACTTGCATTCAATTGCTACAACGCTACTACGATCCCGACGAGGGCACCATTGTGGGTAATCAACAATGACACGCCAACTGTTTTTATTGACGATTTTTGTATATCTACAGCACATCGATCAGGATGACATTCAGCACGATCTAACACTGGATGGCGTACGCCGTAAACTGGGCATTGTCTCACAGGAGCCGTCGCTTTTCGAACGCACGATTGCCGAAAACATTGCCTTTGGAGACAATCGTCGAGCTGTGCCCATGGCCGAGATAATTGCAGCTGCCAAGAGCGCCAATGCCCATAGCTTCATCATTTCCTTGCCCAACGGCTACGATACGCGCATGGGCGCCCGTGGCACTCAGCTGTCTGGTGGCCAGAAGCAACGCGTGGCCATTGCACGTGCCCTGGTGAGAAATCCGAAGATCCTGTTGCTGGATGAAGCCACATCAGCTTTGGACATGCAAAGCGAGCGGGTAAATGTCTGATATACTACGACTATATTCTTAAACAACAAAGTCAACTCTCCACTATAGTTGGTTCAGCAGGCTCTAGACTCCGCCTGCTCTGGACGCACGTGCATTGTTATTGCCCATCGCTTGTCAACGATTCAGCATGCGGATGTCATATGTGTGGTTCAAGGTGGCAGAATTGTGGAGCATGGCACCCACTTGCAGCTCATTGCTCAGGGTGGCGTCTATGCCAAATTGCACAGGACCCAAAAGGATCATTGAGATTTGAATTGAAATTTTTTATTATTATACCAAAGTTAAGATTTATTCACTGTCGTATTTAACACATTACTATTGTTCAATAAAAATTCCTACAATTTTTGATATTCAATTGTTTTCTGAAAGTCCTGAAAAAGTCTGAGCCAATATAGCCCCGGAAACCCACTAGTTTTCAATATGACGAATAAGAACATTTCCCTTTGTCTCATTATAGACGTTAGTTTCCTCATTGTTTATCAGTCAGTTACTTTTCGGTTTGCAAATACTGAGATAATATTCTACGCATTTCAGTTAGGGTTCGGTCTTAAACTACATAAATGCACTTTACATGGCATTTAAGTTCTTATTGTCTCACTGATAATGTATAATCTTTATTATACAATTAAAACTAAAGACAATTAGATGTCAATGCCGCGACAATTGGAATTATATACAAATATTAGCATAGCAACCTTTGATAAGACTAAAAGACTTTTATAAAACACACTTCCACCAAGATTTCAAGCACTTATGTAAATAGATGCCATAAAGGTATATCCCAATGATAACAGGGTACTCAGTCTATCAAAAAGCTAAGTTTTTGCAAATGCTCTGAAAAATGTGTTGGCATTTTTTTAAAGGACCTCTGTTGACCTTTTTGGCCATATAATGTGAAATATTTAATACTATGCACACCTTTATGATCATTGCATATTTTCAAGTCATTCTGAACCTTGAGAAGAATCAATCCAATTAAATTTTATTAAAATAAAATAAGAGAAATTATAAAAACTGTGAGCGCAGAACCCATTTCCACTCATCAGATGTGCGCTCTTGTGGTTATTTGAACATAAATAGAACCAAAATTGATAAAAGACGAACCTCTGAGTGACAAACCCAACAGTTCGCGGCCGCATCTCAGACGAATCGGTACAACGTTAAAAAAACCCTCAAATCACGCAACGCTGTGCATCAATTGAAACAAAAGTCATTCCGGAATGCTAATGAATTTATCGAAAAGAAAAAGCCACCAAAAGATCATATAAGTATAGCATTTGTCGAGCTCCAGGCTTACCCGCGCGTGTTCACTGGCTGTACAGATTCATTTGGAATACTTGAGCGCTAACTATTAATTGACCCCGAGGGTAAATGCTTATAGGCGAAAGTTTTCCGCCTTAAACTACGTCAATGGCAGAGCCCAATATGAACGATGCCGACGATGCAGCCCAGGCAGAGCCAAAGAAAATCAAATCGAAGCAACCACAATTGGAAACCGTGAACTATCGACAGCTTTTTCGCTATGCCCGCGGCATCGACTACCTCCTGTTCGGCTGTGCTATTACAGCGGCCCTTCTGCATGCCCTTGTCTTTCCCATAGCTATTATAGTCTATAGCGAGCTGGTGGCTATGTTTATCGATCGAAGCTTGGGCGTGGGAACCAGCTCGGGCACCAAAGCCTTGCCGTTGTTTGGCGGTGGAAAGCAGCTGTAAGTTTCGCCCGGAAATACCTCAATTCCACGCCTTGCTAAACACCTTTTCACAGCACAAATGCTAGCTACGAGGAAAATATGGAGGAGCTGCGCAAGGACAGCGTCTCATTTGGCATACTCATGACGCTTGACTCCCTTTTGATGTTATTTTCCGGAATGACATTTGTGAATATATTCAATCATCTAGCTCTTAAGCTGACGGTGTGCATGCGCCGAGAGTTCTTCAAGGCAACAATCAGGCAGGAAATTGGCTGGCATGATATGGCCAAGGATCAAAACTTTGCCGTGCGCATTACTGAGTAGGTATAGGTGACTTATATAAAAGGACATATATTTAATCAAAGAACTTAAGTAACATGGAAAAAATTCGCACCGGCATTGCCGAGAATCTGGGCCATTTTCTGACAATTATGTGCGACGTAGCCATAAGCGTTATTATATCCTTTGTCTACGGCTGGAAATTGGCATTGTCCATGTTCTTTTACATACCGCTTACCATGGTGGTAAATGCCGTGGTTGCCCATGTAAGTGGAGCGTACAAAATCCAAATCACACACGTATTTAATTCTCTCTTACCCAGTATCAAAGCAAGCTGACAGCCCGCGAGCAAAGCTCTTATGTGCGCGCCAGCTCTGTGGTGGAGGAAGTAATTGGTGCTATACGCACAGTGGTCGCATTTGGGGGTGAACGATCCGAGTCCGCACGCTATGATGATCTGCTCAAGCCCGCTCTTAAGGCTGGCAAATGGAAGGGCGCCTTCTCAGGACTCAGCGATACGGTCATGAAGGCCATGATGTTCATAGTGGGCGCCGGTGCCTTCTGGTATGGCGCCAATTTGATTCTACACGATCGTGCCAGTGATATGCCCATAGAGAGTCGAGAGTACACGCCTGCAATTGTAATGATTGTGATCTCGGGCATAATTGTGGGCGCCAATCAGCTTTCACGCACTTCACCATTTCTCGAGACTTTTGCCATGGCACGTGGATCGGCCAGCGCCATTTATGACGTGATCGATCGCGTATCTGTCATTGATCCGCTCTCCAAGGCGGGCAAGATACTCAACTGCGGACTGAAGGGCAGCATTGAGTTTCGTGATGTGTTCTTTCAGTATCCCGCACGAAAAGATATCATTGTACTGAGGGGACTCAATGTCACAGTGAACGAAGGCCAAACTGTGGCCTTGGTGGGCTCCTCGGGTTGTGGTAAGTCAACCTGTATCCAGCTGTTGCAACGTTTCTATGATCCGGTATTCGGACAAGTACTCCTGGATGGCGAAGATGTTAGGAAATATAATCTAAACTGGCTGCGCTCCAATATAGCTGTAGTGGGTCAGGAGCCAGTCCTGTTTCAGGGCACTATTGGTGGGTGAAAAATGCATTTCTTAACTGCAAAAAATCTATAAGAGCAACTTTTTTCATGAACAGGTGAAAATATACGCCATGGCAAGCCGCAGGCTACCCAAAAGGAGGTCGAAGATGCTGCAAGAGCCGCCAATGCTCATAATTTTATCATTGCTCTGGATAAGGTAAATTCTCTCAATGAAGTCTTAGGCAATGTCTGAGCTTCTTTCTCCGCCAGGGTTATGACACACACATTAGCGAAAAGGGTGTTCAGCTCTCCGGCGGACAGCGTCAACGCATTGCCATAGCCAGGGCTCTTATACAGAAGCCCACAATACTGCTACTAGACGGTAAGCCTACTAAACATAAATTCATAAAGTATTACTACAGTAAACCATCCATGCAGAGGCCACCTCCGCATTGGATTATCACTCCGAGAAACTGGTACAAGCCGCCTTGGACAAGGCATGCAAAGGACGCACTACCTTAGTCGTATCCCATCGTCTATCTGCCATCAGGCATGCCGATCAAATTGTTTATATTGAGAACGGCAAAACTGTTGAGCAGGGCACTCATGAAGATCTCATGAAGCTGCGGGGCTACTACCACAAAATGGTCGCTGCCCACGAGTACGATGATACCGCTGATGAGCTGCTTAATGAAAGTGAAGAGCTAACCAAGGAGCGCAAGCTATCCAAAGATGTCGAACATTTTCATAGGAACTCACTGAAATCCTTGGATAAAAATGCAGAGTTTCAGATGAAGCGACTTAATCTGAATAACAATCAAACTAGTGAAGAGGATGACAAGGCTAAGAATGCCCCGAGCATCAGCTACCCGCGTACCTTTCTTCGTATCCTGGCCTGGGCACGTCCTGAATGGAGTTTTTTAATCATTGGTACCATATGTGCTGGACTTTATGGTTGCGCCATGCCTGCCTTCTCTATTGTGCTGGCGGAACTGTATGCCTCGCTGGCCGAGCCCACGGACGAGGCGGTGCTGGAGCACAGCTCATCCATGTCGATTATCACCGCAGTTATTGGCGTTTGTGTGGGCATCTTCTGCTTTGTACAAACATTTTTTTATAATCTGGCTGGAGTGTGGTTAACCACACGCATGCGGTGGGTTAATTTCTAAACGGCTCCTTACTCTAATACTGATTTATATCCATCTTCAGTTCCAAGACCTTTGCTTCCATTATGAAACAGGAAATGGGCTGGTTTGACGAAAAGGAGAACAGCGTCGGAGCACTCTCCGCTCGTCTGGCGGGCGATGCGGCCAGTGTACAGGGTGCCATTGGGTTTCCCTTAAGCAACATTATACAAGCCCTGACGAATTTTATCTGCAGTTTTTCCATTGCGTTTTCCTACTCCTGGGAGCTAGCGCTAGTCTGTTTGAGTACAGCTCCTTTCATGGTAGGCTCAATTGTGTTTGAGGCCAGGTTTAGTGAAAAGTCCGCGCTAAAGGAGAAAACTGTATTGGAGGAAACGAGTCGCATAGCCACGGAAACCATTGCACAAATACGAACTGTGGCTGCACTGCGTAGAGAAGAGGAACTGATTAAAGTCTACGATGCGGAAGTTGAACGATATCGTTTGCAAATTAAAGGTCGTTTGAAATGGAGAGGATTGGTCAACTCTCTGGGCATGACTCTCATGTTCTTTGGCTATGCTGTCACTTTGACCTATGGCGGTTTTATGTGTGCCGACGGCAGGATCAAGTTTGAAGTTATAATGAAGTGAGTTGGGCCATACTGAATCTTATTTTATAATCTTTAATCTTTTCCCACAATTAGAATTGCCAACACAATGCTTTATGGCCTGTTTATTTTGGCCCAATCTTTGGCCTTCACACCGGCCTTTAACGCAGCACTGCTCTCGGCCACACGCATGCACGAGATTATTGACCGCCAGCCGCTCATTCAATCTCCAAAAGTTGTCGAGCAGAATGGTAACGGCAATATCTATAAGTCAAACGTTGTTGAACAGGGCGTTAGCTATCGCGAGCTCAATTTTGCCTATCCATCACGGCCTGATAGCTCGGTGCTGCAGGACTTTAATCTAGATGTGCTGCAGGGTCAAACAGTTGCCCTAGTAGGTGCCTCCGGCTCGGGCAAATCCACCTGTGTTCAACTGCTGTTACGCTACTATGATCCGGACGAGGGCAAGATAGTAAGACCAATTATTAGCGATCGTTAACTATTCTTATTTTGCGATTCGTCCCAACAGCTCATTGATCAGAATAGCATACATCACGACATGGAGCTGAAAACCCTACGGCGTCGCCTGGGCATTGTCTCGCAGGAACCGTCGCTCTTTGAAAAGACCATTGCAGAGAATATCAGCTATGGGGATACCACGCGCGAGGTGCCCATGCAACAGATTATTGAGGCTGCCAAAATGGCCAATGCCCATGATTTTATTATGACACTGCCCGCGCAGTATGAGACCATGCTGGGCTCTAAAGGCACACAGCTGTCAGGTGGACAGAAGCAACGCATTGCCATTGCCCGCGCCATGGTCCGAAATCCCAAAATTCTATTGCTCGACGAAGCTACTTCAGCATTGGATATGCAAAGTGAAAGGGTAAGCGGAAAGTTATGATTGCACTTCAAGGTCGTGCATAATACAGACAAAAACTTGTTTTACAGGTCGTGCAACAAGCACTGGATTCGGCCTGCTCCGGCCGCACCTGCATTGTGATAGCCCATCGCTTGTCCACCGTACAAAACGCCAACATCATATGTGTTATACAATCCGGACGCATCATAGAGCAGGGCACACATTCTCAGCTGCTGGCCAAGAATGGCATCTATGCCAAATTGTATCGCAGTCAATCAAATCCAAGCAACGCACAAGACTATGCAGTAAAATAAAAGCAAACATTGGTTCAGACAAGACACAAACCATAGCCCATAAAAGTATGCTAACTTTTATGTTTACTCTCTGTATGCAAGTAAAAAATAGAGTATACACTTTATAGAAATACCTGATAAGATCAAACCGGCTTAACATCTTGGGAGGGCCAGCATAGTATTAATAGTATGCTAAATATTTTAGTAGTGGCTATCAAAAAATATATAGAAGTTTAATTTGGAGTTCACCACCTTAAATCTTTTAATTAATATATCAAGCAGAGATTATTTAGCTTGCAAATATTTTCTATGCATCCATTAACCTTGCACCTATCTTAACCCGAGTGTTTGCAATTAAAAAAAAGATGCAGCCTTATATACTAAACTTACATTTTTTATCTTATCTTGTTAATTGATAAAAAAGTATCTTGAACACCAAATAATTTGTGGGCATTTTAGTTACGCATTGCGCCTTCTCTAGTACGGTTTGGCTTTAAGAATATTTTTGCGGACCGACAAAAATGTTTATCAACATACTACGCCTTTTCATTTTAGTGCTGTGTACGTTATGCATAGATAAACTGTCTACTATCAGTAAATTAATTATTCGTTTAGTCTGCACAGCGATCAGAGCTGAAGATGATCACAATGTCCAGCAGACAGTCAAAGCTTGTCCATTAGAAATGTCCTGCGGCAAAGTGAACGAAAGCAGCGCCATCTGTCGTTGGGATGAGCAAAATGGCTGCATAAGGAAATACCCATCCAAATGTCATATGGATATTGCTGCCTGTAACGAGCGAACACGTATGCACCACACATATTTGCAAAAAAGCGAAACTAGCCATGAACTCCAAAATAACACTTTCTATGCGTGTTACAGTTTGTGACAAAATAATAATACCTTTCGCAAGGGTATACAACACTCCCAATCATTCATATCATTTTTTTCACTCCCAGCTTCGTCTGCTACCGAAAACTGAAGAATCGAAACTCGTTTCTTACAGACTACAGCGACTATAGTGACGTATACTGCTCAATGGAAACATACATATGCGAGGAGACGCCGTCATATGAACGCTGGACAATCTTCTTTGGGCACGTGAAAGATTAAAACGGACAGTGAATAAAGGCGATGGCTTTCAGTATTTCAGATATAATTAATTATGTCTTTGTTGGGCGGTGATCAGTGGGCAATGCCAGACGAACTTTTTTTTTAGTCTGTCACCAATGACGTCAAACGTATTTGCCCACTAATCTTGTGACCAGCGTGAGACAGAACGACGCCTCGAGCCCCCTTTTTTAGCATTTTTCGGCTGTACTCTTTTGCATAATCTTCGCATGAGCTCCCAGCTGAGAGCCGGTCAATAGGTTGATGCGAGTGAGACCATGTATATAAATTGTGGGGTTCCTCAGAGTGTCTGTCAGTTTATCAGCTATTATCTACTGAACCAATCGTCTCTCATAATGCGTCTAACAATTTTCTTTGGTTAGTTTTTAGGTCAAAGAAGTAACTCTGGTTACCTAATATGAGTACATTATTTCTTAAACATATGATACTTTACAGCGCTAAGCTTAGCTGTGGGCGTGGTTACAAGTCTGCCCATGTCATCAACAAGTCAGCCCAACAGAGAACTACAGGAGAAACTATATCAACAATGGCCAGGCGTAGAGGACGAACGATTGGCCGATGCTGAAGTGGATAATGCATATGAGCTGTACAAGCATAAGACCAGAAAGCCTAAGATTCTACAAGTTTCGCCGAATGATATTCTAAGCGAGCCTCCAGCTAAACTCAATTTATGAAGATGAATCACAAACTCAACCATGTTCCAGCACTTACGGGTATACAGTCATTATAGGTTATGGTAATAGATAAGAATAAAAAAAAAAAGACATAAATAAAATCAAAATTATGTTCAAGCATTTATGGGTAAACAGTATGGTATTAAACGAGCATTAAAAAAAGCAAAAAAAAAAGGAAAGAAACTGAAAAATTACGGGTACAAACGTCATTATAGACTATGAAATTTCAAAAGAATTTAATAAAAAGCATTAATAAACTAAAAATGTACGTCTAAACGTGTATGCAGACATTATAAAAGTTAAAATTTGTAGTACAAATTATATAAAATAATTATTTTGAAGAAACGTGCAGATAAGTTGTTCCTATTGCATTCCGGCCAAGATCACGTAGATAGTCTGGCTCTTGGAAGACTTATAAAGCTCGGCATTGCACTTGCAGATCAGTTCAGTTCAGTTGTATTAAGCAAATTGTCGAAAACGGAAATGTCGCCCATCAAGTTCGTATCAGTGTTATTCATCAGCTCTGCATTGCTGTTAATTGGTAAGCCCAAAAGAATTAAGCTGGGAGGAACCTTAACTCAAACCGTGTCTCTTTTTGTAGCACATGGAAGACCGCTGGACGAATTCAGCAGTGAAGATGATCGCATGAATGAGATTAGCGCTGAATTTATCAGAAAACGGATTATGTCAGATGTGGACCGCATATTCAGCAGTGCCGAAATTCAAAAGTCAAAGGGTACAAATAAAATTAAGAGAAACAACGCAGAGACTACCAAGAGTTCCAAGCATGCTCATGGCATGATCACATCCATGCTGAGCTTCGTCAGCAATGTTTTTAACTTTGGCAAAACAATGATACGTAACGAATAATTAAATATATTTTTAGATTTATAAGTAAAAATCGTTTAAGAATCTTTGCACCCAAATGTAATTAGATGTACAGGTTAAACTACCCCTAGAAATAAAGTTAGTATTAACTCCAAATACACATAATTCGTATACCATTCATTATGGGGATTTTTACAAGTCATTCATACGTGACATTGTATGGCAATTAGGCACACGACTCGAAATTTGTTTAGTCTAGCGATCTTCACGTTTTATGTGACGTCACGGCTGACTTACAAGCGCATATGTTAATTTTTACTAGGTGTGCATTAATTATTCCATTTACACACAGTTCATTGTTTGTTTGTTTTTATAATACAACGAGACCTTGCCTATGCTCTCTGAGTTCTCTGTTTCTCTCTCTTTTTCGATAATCCCTTTTTTCTCTAGCTATCGTTCTATGGAAAATTTTAGGGGATTTTTTTTAAGCCCATTGAAATCTAAATTTTTTAAACACTTATGATAATAATGCGTTATTAATTAAGAATCTATTATAATAAGTTCTGGGAATTCTTATCAATCACTTAAAGATGAAAATCCCACGCTTTTATTTCGTATGGAAATCAATTCGATTGGGGCAAAGCTTTATTCAATTTATAAAACAAAACCATTAGGTACTATAAAAGAAACCTAAATAAATATGAATTATAGCCTTTATATAGAAAATATTGCCCAATTCGCAAACTCGAAATGAAATCGAAAGCCATTGATGGAGTCTTAACGGCAAACGTTGATTGTGCAAGCACCACTCAACCTGGTGGCAGCCACCCGATGAACAAGGTTATATATGTACACATGTGTTTGCCATTCTCGGCTATATGTTCTCACTTTTATTTGGTTTTAAACGCTGTTTCAATTTTAGCACAGATTGGCGTGTTAAAAAAGAAATTCGCTTGTGTGCGAGCCAAGATTTATTGAAGCACAAAAAAGAAACAATTTATGAATAACTGAATATTTGTGCTAAACAGGTAGATGTACTTAAATAATATATAATATTCAATTGAACCTTGCTAATTCGCCTGAAGCAAGTGATATTTAAACATCTTGTTCAATGAATTCATATTCTGGGACAGCTCATTACAGACACGAACCACGCAGCCTTTCGAGGCACATGTAAAATAAAAAAAAGCTTATTAAGGGCTTAGATAGATTTTAAGCTAGAAATACACTGCAATGCCACACTAACCCGCTAGATATTTGATCACTTTCAACAGCACCATGACGATAGTTGCGCCGATGCACACGCGCCGAGACTTAGAACCAAATTGAACACGAAATCAAAAATACAACCGCGAATAAATAAATGAAACGCGGTGCGGCCAGGTGAACGTTGACGCCGACGCTGGCAGCCGTGCACAGTGGGGCTGGTTGGACTAGTTTCGAATGCCCTGAAAAGACCACCAAAATCTTACCAGTCATGGCACCAAATTGTCTCGATAATTGAAATGATTATCACTCGAATTAGGGAACCAATCAGTATTAAGGTAAAACAATTATGTAAATAAACATGCTCTTTTTTTTTCAAAACAATCTGTAGAGGTACTTACTATTATTGAACCAATGTGCAACGCCAGCAGAGATATTAAATCAAGAACCTCTCGTTGATGTTGCAATCGATCTTTCATACACATGTATGTGCATATGAAGTATGTACATGTACCTATATACAAATATCTATTCAATTTATTTTTTTTTTGGCAGGCACTTAAACGTTCATTTGCGTGAGTTGCAAGAAACAGCATCGACAACAACAATATAAACAACAACAAGCAGTCAACGATGCGTGTTACGTCATCAGAACTCGTTTGCATCCATGGGGCGGCCGCCTGCACAGTGTGACCGGCGCACAAGTTACCAGTAAAATTTGGGCCAAAAACTGTTGACACTCATAGCCGTCTTTATCAGTGCGATTATTTTTGTCATTGCAAGAGTTGCCATGCTTGTTGCAAGTTGCAACCAGTTTCCTTTGTGGCCAGTCAACCGTGTGTTCGCTGTCAACAAGTGGCAACAGCTGCCGGACGCCGCTGCCGTTGACTGCACTTTCGGATACATTGGTCATGAATTTTAACAGTATTTTGATCGTGATTTTCAAAGCTACTCAAACCAGGCTGTTCGCAGGCCGTTTCTTTTGGCGTTTTAATAGCTCTAGCAATAAACTTCAAGTTTTAGTGATTGCAGGTTGAGTTTCAATTCATTTTGGACATGCCTCAGCGCGAATCGAGTATTTAGCCGTTATTCACCTTCAGTCTAGTTATTTTGCACAGCAACAACAGCACAAGCTACTCTGTTCAATTAAATAGCTGTTGCTTTACCAGAACTAGAACCTGGTGATATTTTAATAACTTTAAATTAAGCCTAAGCTAGATTAATATTCATAGGCATATACTTATTATGCATATTGACATTTCTTAATTTGATTTTGATCAACAAAAAGCAAGTTTATATGTACATACGCATGACTATTCAATTGTAGTCATGAGTGTGTAATCAAATTCGTTCCAGTGTGACCAGTTCATGCTGTCATGGCAAGAACAAATGGGCAGCACTGTCGAAACAGCAGGGTTTGTTGTGTTTTAAGTAAATTAACATAATAGACATTCAACTAACGGGCCATCGTTTTCCAAGAGAAAAATCAAACCTCTCTTTTTCAGTTTCTCATTTAGTTCGCGAAAAAAGCCGGCCGGCATATCGCTTGAAAGAGCACGATCGCAGCAAGCCGAGAGCGAAATAAAACAAAACTGGAAATAATGAGAAAAATAAACGAATAACGCAAGCACAACAAACGGCGTTGAAAGCATTATCTCAGCTCTCAGCTGTGCGATGAAGTAATAAATGGGCCGGGATCGCCGGCAGCCGACTGACGATCGTCGGGTGAGCCGAACAGCCGAACAAATCTGTCAGTTTCTGATGCAGACATTACTTTTTTTTCTTTTGAGGCACCGAGGAAAACTTCTCACTGCATGAAGTTCAGTTGCTCGCGACGAGCCATCCAGTGCGGTTGGATGGGCTCTGGGAAGAAATAAATAAGAATCGAAAAAGTGAAACAAAAAAGTGTCCAAGATAAGAAAGTGGAATACATAAGAGTGAACCGGAAGTGACCAAAGATAAAGGACATTCACTGTTTCTGTGCATTTGTGTGTGTGCAAAAGGGAGTGTGAAGAGCCGACACACACAGCACAATGGGGCTACGTGCGACCCCATTCTGTGCTATGGGCGTGGCCTTTGCTCTGTGCCTGCTTATCGCGCTGTGTAATGCCGAACTAACGCCGCCATATTTCAATCTGGCCACTGGCCGCAAGATTCACGCAACTGCCACATGTGGCGAGGATACAGATGGACCCGAGCTCTACTGTAAGCTGGTCGGTGCGAATACGGAGAATGATCACATCGATTACTCGGTTATTCAAGGCCAGGTTAGATGAGATGATAAATTTCTTTATAAGGACACGATACAATTATAAGCTCAATACACACTTATCTCAACATATTCATCTCCATAAGATTCTATATATAATTCTGAGTATACATACATGTTTTTGATGTTTCCCGCGTGCCACATGTGTTTCGAATCTATTTTTAAACATAATATTGAAGTTTTATATAACAACATGTGTGTTCTTCTATAGGTCTGCGACTATTGTGATCCCAATGTGCCGGAGAAGAACCACCCGCCAGAGAATGCAATCGATGGCACTGAGGCCTGGTGGCAGAGTCCACCCTTGTCCCGAGGCATGAAATTCAACGAAGTCAATTTGACCATCAATTTCGAACAGGTAAACAGCAATCAGAACAACATACTACAGCCAAGAAAGAAAGGTGTAGCCCAAAATAAAAGAGTGCTGTGTGGGGGGGAGGGAAACTCAAAAAACGAGTCAATGCATCGTTTTTGTGTCTGGAGTTCCTATGGGTTCTGGTTCGATCATCTCAAACTGCTCTTAACTCAGACAACGACAGGGACAGGGCATTGGCTGGGGCACGTTTGGTCGGACAGGCTCGTAAAATTAGTGAGCGGATTGCTTTTGAAAACAATTTTAATGGGTTTTCATTTCATTTTCGACGTCTACAACGAAGACGAGGTTGCTTTTTCTGTTTGAAGCCACAGCGAAAAATCTTGCTGAGCTGTTGAAATGTTTTCGTTGCTGCTTCTTCCCTCTGGAGTTGCGGGTTATCAGCACGTTATGTACAAGTTTTCTTACATACATACACATACATATGTACAAATATGTTTTTATGTTGGCCTGTCTCAGCTTACATGCTCGCTTAGAAACGGCCACACGGAGCATTGACTCTTGTTTGGTTTTTATTTTTTTTTATTATAAGTATATTTGTGGCGATAAGCAGCTAAAAATGTATGAAATATAAAGCATTGGTGAAGGCTTCTTGTTGCCTAGTATTTGAACAATTCTGTTGTATATACTATATATGATATATTCTCTTACTGATAGCAATAAGAACAAACTAGTATAGTCGCAGCCCACGCTTATCATTAAATGTCTTGAATTGCTCTACAAAAAACTTTGGGGTCACACATTGCGCACATCTTATCGCACTTGCAACGGAAACGCTCCAGATCATGTGGCTGTAGCTGCTTATAGCCTGAGCAAGCCTTTTGGAATAGCTAAGCATTACATCTACATGTATGTAGGTTTTCGACATGGTGCTCTTTTTTTTGTAGTTGAGAAATGAAATGAGATCATCTTATACAAATATGAAAATTCAACGCCTGCACATTCTTTTCTTCACGAGCATGCATTAATGCATTGCATTTAAGAAGATATATGAACACTTAAGATTCTTGAAACTGAAAGCTTCAAAATGTTAAAGAATAAAAAATATTCAGAAATATCCCAACTAAAGTCGTTACCTACAATGCTTAACTAAGGTCTACGACTAAGAAAATTCTTCTACTAAGATCACGCGCCATAGCCCCAAAATTCCTCCTTCGAACTTTACAGAGATGAGTTTTTGTATCCCTATGAAAAAGTTATCATATAAACTATGTATCTACCAAATTTATAAACATGCCCAGCACACAAGATGACAACAGTAAACAAGCGCACATATGTACCTATAGGTATATGTGTATATATACCTTGTGAATATGTACATATGTACGTTTGGTTCGTTTTCAATTGAATTCAAATTGAAAAGCAAACATAAAACAAAATAAACAAACATTCTGCGGACGCAGATAAATTTAGTATACTACAGAGCATGGAGTTAATTCTCTTCAATGATCTCATGCAAGCTCTGTAGATACACAAACACACACACATTGACATATCTACACAGATATTATGTGTACGCTACGCCAATAAAATTAAATGAATTTGCTTGCTCTGTAAAACACTTGACTGGTAAGAGAAGATCCATTCCAACAATTAAGACGAAATGTTTCAAACCAAGAATTTCAATTAATTTTTAACTTAAAACCAAACCTTAAACCAAATCGCATATTTTCTTCGAAAGTTGTACAGTTAAAGAAGCTTATAATTTAAATTATTTGTGACCAAAGTATAAATAACTTTGACCCCAAATATTGTTATCCATGTCAACATAGTTAAACATAATCTAATTTAGCTCACATCCCGAATATGAAAATATATATTGGTTTACAATATTTTCAACGCAGAGAGCAATTGTATATTAAAATATAATTGATTCATTAATATTTGAAAAAATGTTGCAAACCGAAACTTACCTGAGTTGTTAAGAAGTTCCAGATTTTGAGAACAACATTTGAGCAGCGTCCATATACATTTTTGCTAAAGTAGAATCTTCCATTCATTTTCCAACTTTCAGGAATTCCATGTCGCTTACTTGTTCATACGTATGGGCAACTCGCCGCGTCCTGGTCTCTGGACACTGGAGAAGTCCACGGATTACGGCAAGACCTGGACACCCTGGCAGCACTTTTCCGATACGCCCGCCGATTGTGAGACATATTTTGGCAAGGACACGTACAAGCCAATAACACGCGATAACGATGTCATCTGCACCACGGAATACTCAAAAATTGTGCCGCTGGAGAATGGAGAGATACCAGTCATGCTGCTCAACGGGCGTCCCTCCGCCACCAATTACTTCAACTCGACTATGCTGCAGGAATGGACGCGTGCCACCAATGTCCGAATACGTTTGCTGCGTACCAAGAATCTGTTGGGTCATTTGATGTCCGTGGCAAGACAGGATCCGACAGTGACGCGGCGTTATTTCTATTCGATTAAAGACATATCGATTGGTGGACGTTGCATGTGCAATGGTCATGCTGATACCTGCGATGTCAAGGATCCGCTTAGTCCGGTGCGTATATTGGCATGTCGTTGCCAGCATCACACCTGCGGCATTCAGTGCAACCAGTGTTGTCCAGGATTCGAGCAGAAAAAATGGCGTCAGAACACCAATGCGCGTCCATTCAACTGCGAGCGTAAGTATTGA